CCCCAAAACCCCAAAACCCCAAAACCCCAAAACCCCAAAACCCCAAAACCCCTTTTGCTGTTATTTTTATTGAAAAAAAGATGAAAAAGTCTGAAAAGTTTAACCTAAATAACCCTGTATACCTTTTCATGTACTTGGTAGAGCAGCACCAACATAGGAAGCACTTGCATAATATCCAATCTACGGTTGATAATAAGGTTCCAAGGCAATTTTTGAAGAACTTGGTAAAGAGACGATTACGAAGGTAACTTCATATACCCAAACTCTGTATCGATATCATTATTGTCTAGGAATATTCAGTCAAATCACGAGAAAGCCAGATACAAATATGCTGATGATAATATTGATTTGCTTAACAAGCTAATTAGTACTAAATAATCGTAAAAACTTGCTAAGGTAAGAAGAGTAATAGCAGCATTAACACAAGATAGCCTGACCTCTTTAATTTATGGGTCCTCCACAAGAACGATCTTTGGTGTTAATTGAGCCTCATGGGATTTTGGAGACTCTTACTTGATATAATTTTATTTTGTATCGCATTATTATTCCCAAGTCAAATAATGGTTTTAAATACAGCTAAAATTATGGGTTTTGCCCAATCTAATCATTTTTAATAGCCAACGAGCTAAGAATTCCAATCCAAGGTCTCTGAATTTCGTTAATCGAAAATAAGGAAATAGGTAAGTAAAGATACCAGGTTTTAGTTTATCTCGACCCTAAACTATTAATGTTATATAACTATTTTATTTGATCATATATTCTTTGATCAAATCACAAGTTGGTAAAGTTTCTACTTCGAGCAAGACGTACATCTAAAATGGTTTGAAAATTATCTCGATTTATAGAGAGGATCAATAATGAGAATACAAGGTACTTAAATGCTTTATCATGACTAGGTTCAATACTCGCCTTCTTAGCGACGTGAAGCCTACTATTACTCGAGAAGATTTCAAGAAACATGAGAAGAACTATTATGACCATAAATTAAACCTAACATCTCTTAATTATGGCTATCTACTTCTAAGCCAACAGGCCCCACATAAAAGGGAAGGAAAGATAAAGACTTTAAAGAACAATAGTAAAAAGGTACAATCAATTTCATCTTTAGCTCGATAGAATCACTGAAAACTCTTCGAAATTCAACAGAGTCTTCTCAGCTGATGATAAAGAAACTCTCCGGATGAAAAAATTTAAGAGTCCAATGACGGATAAGAGAATGAATAAAAAGATCAAATTTAAACCAAAATCTCCTGTCATTCTAAGGCCTCTTAAGAAAAGGGTCATTAAAGGATTAAATCAGTCAACTCTTGATGTATTCTCAACAACAGATAATATTCGGAGGATCAATAAGTTCAAATCAAAGATCATGAGTAAGTCTCCTAGAGCAAAGAAAAAGAAACCCAGAGTGAAGCCTAAAAGAGGGCGGAATCATCATACTACAAAAGACATGAAAAGTAAGTTTTAGTTCTTAATTCTAGTTCTTAATATTCAGACTGGACATCCAATGTCTCCTTCTCCTGAGGAGACTTCTTTTCCTGAGAGGAATGAGAGGGGGCATTATCAGAATCCTTCGCCTACTGATAGCCAAGCCCCCCAGATAAACAGTACAAAGAATACTTCAGAGATGCGGCCCGATTCTAAGACTAAAGATCTGATAAACCCCAAGGAAATGCCTCTAAGGATAAACACAATTGCGAGCAACACAGCTCGAAAGAGTGAAGTCGTAAGGAATGTCCAAAAGAAGCCCAAAATAGTCAACAGAATTCAGTCTAAGGTTAGCGTGGTTAACAATCCGACTCAGAGCAGCAAGAAAGAGAGCAGGAATAGTTCAGCCAACTATAACCCTATCTCCAGACAGACTACATATAGAGGAGACTCTTTTGGCAACAAAGAAGGGCTCAAGAAAGGTAAAGGTAAAAGAAGGAGGAAAGATACATATTCTGAGGCCAACGAAAAGATCCTTGATGTCCCTGAAGACCAAAGAGATATGAAATCTGTAATTAAAGAAGAAGAACATGGTATACTTTATGAGTAATTTTAGATATCAATGAGTCCTCTTCCTCTGAGAAATACACCGTAAGTGGCTTTACTAAACTAATTTAGGAGCCAGAAGAGTTTAAAGACGATGAATCACGCAGTAAAAGTATGGTCGACTCTGTCAGCGACATTCGAAGTAGAAATGATGGGCTTTCACCTAGTCCCAGCTTAAAGAGCATTACCAAAAAGAGGTATCTAACATATGTTTATTCATAGGCAAAAGAATAAAAAGAATATTGGAGATACTAAGTCAGGGCTTAATTCGAAAGCCACTCCTGAACTCAAGTCTAATACAAATAAAGAAGGAAAATTGGGAAAAGATATACCAGAAAATAACTCAGACATCAAGTCTCAATCTATGTCTGAGAATAAATCTCAAGCTGTTTCCGATAAAAATTCTGTAGACCAATCAGAATCTCAATCTCCAGAAGGAGAGAAGGAAGAGGCTAAGGAAAAGAAGAAGAGTTTGCTGATTGAGGTAATAAATATCTTCAAAGCTTAGAATCATCTCCATAAGGCAAAAATAAAGGGAAATAATTACCATGAATCTACTTCGAACATCACTCTCAATCAATCAAACATCAATGATTCAAAATTGACCAAATATTCTGACATGAAGCCGAACAAGTCAAACGTAACTGCACAAAATCGTAGATCAAGCCAGCAGACGAAAATCCGTGATCAGTCAGGTGTATATCCCGCAAAAAGAACGATAAGCAAGATGATGACTGAGAAGATCCCTGAGGAGGACTGAACTCCTCTGAAGGATAAGACTACCTTCAATACTCCTACAGAAATTGTGTCTAACTTTGGAGGCAGAGAGGGTGGTCAGAATGTTTCTCAAAAGACAATTACCACTAATAATCAACTCAAAGAGAAGGTAAACAATAGTTAGTTATCTAGAAGAGTCAGAGAAAACCTTCTGTGATCCGTCAGAAACGTAACAGTATGCCTATGAGCCTAAAATTTAGCAATAAACCATCAAATATTTCCGCATATGAAGAGAAATGATGAAGATGATGAAGACGTTTCGACTATTAAAGACCAGCTGAACAACCTAAAGATGACAGATGAGACTAATAGTATTCTTTTTAATAGAACTTTTAGGCAAAAATATGTCAGTTAGTGACAATACTAATACAGATCAGGGTAAACGCAAGTCTTTTATATCAAACCGGTCCAAGACTAATGAGTTTGTTTCAAGTAAATTAATCTATTAAAAATAGTTAAACACGTACCAGAAGATAGAAGGAAGAGTAGCTTCGTCCATTTAAGCACTATTCAAGAGTCTAGGCCAAAGAAGATGCTTGAGGTAACATGACTAGACACTATGAAGAACATCCCATCTCCAGAAAGCTTCATTTCAGGTGGCATGAGTCTTGGCCAAGGTGATAAAAAGAAGGAAGAATCGAAATTTTTGATGACTAAAGAACTTGAAACCATCAAAGATGATAATTCATCTCGATTCCAATCTGATCAAGATTTTGATGATTCTGAGAATAACAAAAGGTGTAAGAAATCAATTAGTCAGGATGATGATAGTGTGAGTTCAAAGGACAACACAGATATTGCTGGGTCCCATTGTGAGAAGGAAAAACCATTTTTCTTTAATAAGAATAAAGATAACCCCCAAGAAAAGTAATTATATGCCTCATAAATTAGGGATGTTCCAATAAACCCGAACTTTAAAAGAAAACAGACTGTAAATGTATTTTCCAGGCAACTTCCAGGAGAAAAGGAGAACTCAAATTTCAGCTTAAATGATAAATCAGAGAAATCTAAAGCTTCTCGGAAGGAAAACGCGACTAAGGAGTCCTCCATGTTCAGCCACACTAAAAAGAGGGCGACTACTTTTGTATCGTCTTCATCCCAGAATTTCTTCGGGATTGCTGAAGGGAAATTCAGAAATCTTGTTCGGAAGAAATCAACAAGTAATTTCTTGCCAAATTACGGCATAATGGAGCAGAACAAGAGTATTATTGATAATAATCTTGATATTTCTCTGCCTTCACAAATAGAGAAGAAGGATTCAACCTCTTCAAATAATGTCAGTGAAGAAGACGAGTTTGTAAATGAGCTTGTGGATGCCCCTCCCATGCCTCTAGGAGAACTTTCTAGAAAGAGCAGTGTTGACGATTACAGAAAAGCACTGATGAAGCAAAATGTATGGCTTTGGTTAATCTTTTAGAAACGCATTAGCGACAACCGGTAGATTTTGGTATAGTCTTAACATTTAGAGTCGGATTTGAGAGCACAGAAAATTCTCAGTTAATAGGATCGTATCTCAGTAAGAACTCTTTCAAGTCTAACATCTCCCATACACTTCAAATGTCGAAGAAGAAGTCTTCTTCAGAAACTGTGGTAGAGCTGAAGTCTGTAGTTTTACAAAAATCGGTGAATTCTCAGGCTCTTAGAGGGTTGAAATCAGGAAAGAATACAAGCAGTAATTTTGAGAGTGACCAAATCCCTCAAATTAATGATGAATCTCATTAATTTTCAACCAAATTGAGGCTTGCTGGGGTTTTGGGGTTTTGGGGTTTTGGGGGTTTGGGG